ACAGGAAAAGAGGTTGGTTTCTTCTCCCAAGTGACACGAGATAGAAGAGGAAACCGCTTAAAGTTGTGCCAGAAGAGTTTTAGATTGGATATTAACAAAAATTTCTCCATTGAAAGGATTGTCAGACACTGGAACAGGCTGCCCAGGGAAGTGGTTGAGTCAATATCCCTGGAGGTATTTAAAAGATGTTTAGATGTGGTGCTTAGGGCCATGGTTTAGTGGTGGACTTGGCAGTGCTGGGTTAATGGCTGGACTCTATGATCTTAGAGGTCTTTTCCAACCAAAACAATTCTAGAATTCTGTTCTCTGGTCCTAAACCATGTCGTGGTGAGAGCTTCTGGCCCAGGCTGACTCTCAGAAATTGTCTGACACAATGCTACCTGGCCCAGGTCAAAGTTTGATCACTCAAAATTTGATGATCGTATTCCAGTAGGAAGGAATCTTCCTGGTCACCGTCTAATTTACTACTATATGCCAAATCTACCTTATTACAATGACTGCAACAGAATGGACTTCCAGATTCCTATTACCCCAGGGTGCCTTTAGGTGTGTTTAGGTGTCTTATCCAGATACAAATTAATTGTGTCTGAACAATGATGACATTAAATGAGAATTATTAAACCTCATGTGAAGAAATTATGTATTTCAAATTTACTTACACTTTATTGTAATCTATTTAATTTTGCAGAGGGCCCATTGCATTCTGTGAGCTCTTGTCAGATCTCCCTCTAACAGTAGCATACTAATGAGAGGTATGAGAAAAATCATATCCACAATGACCTTCCTCAAACAATAATACCTATCTGTAGTTTTAAATACCTAATGTAATTGATAGGACAATACACCTTAAAGAACCACAACCTTCTGACAATCCTGTTCTGTAGGGATGCAACTTGGTTTTAATGCTGACATCTAGCCTGTTTCCAAGGTAGTATATTCTTCTAGGGAAGATATTTTCCCTCCCCTGTTTATCGAAACTTGCAATGTATTATGAAAACATTACGGTAGCTACTGCAACTGAATTATTGCCACATAACATCTGAGTGTTGGAAATATATCCCTAAAGTAGCAGTCAGAGTGACAGATGAATGGTGTTTCTCTTAATCCCAGGGGAACAAAAGTGAAACAGAGCATTCACAGCTAGATGCTCTATGCATTCCTTTGTATGTCAGTTCAGAATTCTGATGGGAGGACTTTTTCCTGGTGGGGGAGGTGTTTGAATGATAGAAAAACATGATAACAAATGGATATTTACAGAATGACAGAGCAACCAGCTTTGCAATGCTGCTGACTGAGGTTTTAATGTATCTTTAATGTATTTGATTTTAATAACAAGATATGGAGAATGTGATGGTGGTTCTGATACAAGAATTCAGCAGAATTGCTGTTACCATTCACAAAATCACAGCTAAACCTGCAGCTAGTTTTACTATGGCCAGGAGAGAAGCAACAAAAGGACACAAACACCTCAAACTGCATCTCTACCGAAACTGCAAAATAAGGAAAGATGTGAAGATTTGAAATGAGCATGCACCTTCTCCCCACATCAATTCAGCCATATCCCACAGAAATCCCAACTCTCTCTTCTAAATTATTTTTAAGAGGAAAGGGAAAACAAAATTTCAATCCACTTGCAAGGTTTTATTTCTAATGAATTCTCACACAGAGCAAGCAATAGAAGGGAAATGGAATTTCCGAGCACCAACAGGTCTGGTTGTTAAGAGTCTCACCTGTGCCATAAAAAAGGAGTGTTAGGTAGAGCTGATTACCTGTGTTATTCTCAAGAGGTTGTCACCTGTAAAGAAGACAACTTCTATGATCCAGATAGCTCCTCTTCACATGCACAATTCAATTACATCTACGAACTAGAACAGTTTATTCCATCTGTAACTGTTCTTACACTAAGGATCAGCTTTTCACTGGTGTTTTACTGCTATCAATACTAACTGAAGTGAGACAGAGGTGCTATTCCAGTTTTTATTTTGTTTTGGTTTTGCCAATACAGTTGTCTCATCTGATGCTATTTATTGCTAATATTGAAGTTTTTATAGTAAGTCATCTAACCACAATAAATCAATAACATAATAATGTATTTTGATAAAGTAATGTGAATCTTTTCTTAAATTCTGCTCTCTGTTGTCAGAGTATTCAATTTTCCTTTTCATATTTCTATTATTACTTTTTTAGAGATAGTACCTTTGCTTTAAATTAAAACCACAGGATACATCAATAGGTTCTACACACACTGCTAAAAGAATGTTCCTTCTTTTTAATATGACAGCAGTAGTGGGTATTTTTCAGTCAAAAGTGTAGATTTTTTTGTTGTCCTTTAATAATGTTTGCAAGTGGCTTGGAGCTTTGCTTGCTCCTCTGTAATACAAGTACAGAATAGACCTCATGGAACAGCAAACAATCTCATAAGGTTTTAGCTGCAATTTTATAAAGTCTTTTAAAAGAAACGAATACAAACAATATTTGCTTTTGGTATCATAACTGAAACCATATTGCTAAACAATCACATCCTGTTTAGCCCATAGTGACATCAGAAATATATGTTTATCATCTGCTCTGGACAACTTAGCATGATTTTGGCCCAAGGCAAAGAAGAATTGAAATTATTTACAGTTGTCCAAATCAAGATAACCACACATTTCTGAGGTAATTGATACCCAAAATGAACACTGCCTTTAGATTGCAGTTCATGATTTAAGTATAGTAATTCCTTAAAGAATCCTTAAAAACACTTTTAAAGTATCTATTGGATTTCCTCCAAAACTTAGTGTGGATTCAACAATCAATGCCACCAAGAAAATGTGACATAGGAGATCAGGTCATCCACTAACAACATTTCCTCTAGGAATGGATCACATTTCCTACTACCTTTGATTACTTTCCACTCGCCTAAAGTGACAAAAAAACCCCAGACAAAACAAAGCCAAAAACTATTCTAGACATCTTGAATAGCATGACACAAGCAATCCCTCATATTTCCCTATTAGTTTTAAAAGCTCATAAGAAAGAAAATATATAGTACTGACTTAATACTTTTATATAATTTGTAGAACTATTATGAAAATAGATCTTGATTTTTCTTTTATTTTTTTTAACATGGAAACAGATCAAGAGTTCACAATATCTATTAAAGTAGAGCAACAGAGAGAATAATTGCTTAAATATATATATATGCATTCACATATACATACACACAAACACAATACAGCTCATGAGTTGCAGTCTAGTGAGGAAAAAACAAAACATGTAGTCAGATGAAAGACAAATATTTGATTAGAGGAACACATTCCTTGACAGACAAACACAGAGTAAAGTTTGTCCTTGTCTAGGACAGGAAATGTCATCCTTCTAGCAACCTGTGTAGTTTTCAACAGCAAAAAGATTTTATACTGGAATGGCAGAAGAGAATGTAAAGTCAAGCCCATAACCCACTCATTCAGAAGAGTGCTGTTATATATTTTTGTGCATACAAGCTCAAAGGATTTGCCAAAGCAAAGAAACCATCAGTTTCCAAAACAACTGCTCTGCAACACTGATTCTCAGCTGGGGAGAAATGGGACTTGTTACGAGTTAAATTCATAGAGAAAAAGGGATTCTTTATTAGAATTTGATTTCTGCCCCTTTCAGGGGAGAAAGAAGGTGAAACAAGTCTGGGAAAGTCCCAGTTCTGAAAAGGGGCTCCATTAAGAAGGAAAATAGAATTACAACTACAGGAGAATAAAAATTTTGTTACTTCATGGAATTTTCCATGAAATCCTGAAAGCGAAATGAGGCCCTAACAACCAAATACTAAATACACAAATATTGCTGGATGCATCAGGCAGCTCAGCATAGAAAGAAAATCAAACCAAAGTACCCAGCTCCTTCAACAGAAAGGGGAAAAAAACCCCTCTAAAATTAGCAAGTTTCCAACAGCTACACACAGTACTGAGTGTCATATTTGCCCAATTTGCCTAAAAAACTGAGGAAATGTGGTTGGGCTCCTGGTGCAACTTCACCCTTGACACCTAGTTGCCCATGACATGAGGACATGAGGAGGAACTGGGCATGATCAGGGCCTGTAGACTGTTCCTTGTACTCATTATGGACAGAGCAGCCCTGTTGACCTACAGAAGATTTTTCCATAGGGACCCAAGCCAGGCCATGTCACCTGCCTCCTGGGCCAGTTCATTAATTAGTACAGATACAACTTTTGGATCTTATAAATATTTCAGAGTACATGACATCCAAGAAGATTCTCTATTAATAGAAAAGACCTAGGGTTGATGAGACCTACATGGTGCACTTGGTTTGATGTATTATCATGTGCCAGTATAGCAAAATTTCAGTGAAACCAAGTAAAACTGCTATCAAAACCAACTGGTACCAAAACCATTGTTCCACAGACTTCCATGCCAACACAGCTGTACTGTTTCTTAGTCCCACCTACCTTCTGAGAGTGATATGTTACTGCATTCTTCAATATAGACACCATTTTTCATAACTACATAGATCAGAAAATAGGACTTGAAAGCCGGATGGAGAGAAGAGCATATACTGAAGCATGTTTGCACAAAATATTTCCATTTTTAATTGTAAGCTGTGTTATATGAGAACAGTCCTCAACAACATTGAACACATTGTGTTCTATTAAAACACGATTTTTTAATGAGAGGAAAAATGAAAAAGGAAACAAAAATATTGTAAAAAATGATTTTGAGATGTTTATAAACAGAATCTGCTTTTTATAGGAAGGAAATACAAATACATGCCAGACAGAAAGATCCATAGGTACCCTTTTCATAATCTTTCTTCTCAGCATGCTTGCTTAGATATCAGAAAACCTTTGAGGGAATAGGACAAATATGGCAATAGGATTCCTTTAGACCATCTGGGAAAAGGAACTATGATATAATATACAGCATGAAAAAGGCATCAGACCAGCATGATGTATGAAACACTTCAGTTTTCCCAGCTGGAGCTGGGTGTCAGTAAAATAAAAAAATTACCTCCATCCGCTCTTGCTTGACATCATCAATCTCATCATCTTCAAACATGGCTAACAGCTCTCCAGTCTGGTCAATGGAATTTAGAAAGTCTTGAGCAAGCTTCTGCCGTTTGTTGGTGTTGCTACTGTTGAATTTGTCTTCATAAAGGTAAGCAAAAAACCAAGAAACTGAAGTTATTAGGCTTCTCCTAACATCAACCAATATCCCTAAGGATATGTTTTAGACTCTGATGAACTATACAGAAAAGGTTTGTTTTTACTGTCCTCCTCATAAAAGTTGTGCTACCTTGTGGAAGTAGTATTACAGCTGTGCTGCAGTAGTTCTGCAGTAAAAAAACAAAAACAAACACCTTTAGAGTTTTCTAGTACATTCTAGTGGATTTTAGTAATCTAGAGAAACCTGGTCTGTTGCTCATATAGAATAAGTTTCATGGAAGGATCCACAGATCAGACAGAGCTGTAGAAGAATCCACCATTCTTTGGTTGTACAAAAGCCTCACTTGTAAAACAGAATATGTAGAGGAAAGGCTCTTTTCTGAAAGCATGCAGAGCATCGTCATTCCCTGCAGCTTAGAGCAAACCCTAACACAAAGAGTAAGTAAGCTCCACAAACCATGGACCATTGCTCTACAGTAAAACCTGGAGAACCGTGGCAAGGTGCTCCCTGCTGTTCTAAAGAGAATAGCAGCTATCAAGACATTAGCATCATAAAACAAAATTAATGGCTTCAATTATCAGTCTGCCAGAAAATACAATCTTTAGTTCTCAGATGAACTGTGTTTACAAAGCATTTCATGAGCAACTAACTGGCCTACAAAAATTGTTTATTTGTTTTAAATAGTGAGAAGGACTTAAGAATGAAAAACCCCAAACTGTCAGGTAGGAAGCCATACCGTCAGATTATTTGCACAAAACAATATATTTTCATGTGTGATGAAAATCAAATGCCACAGGAAAGTTAAATCTCAAATGAGCTAACAAAAACTTACACATGGATTGACTATGTCAAAGAAAGCAGTACAACATTTACCTAAAATCAGTCTGGATGCTCAGAGGAACCAAACACAAGGAATTCATTGTAAGGGAAAAAATAAAAATGAAACTAAAAGGCTCTGAGAAAGGAAATAAATACAAAAAGCTCTATATGGAGATTGCTAGATGCTATAAAAGTACGGAAGCTTTACATTTGCTGTAAGTTTTAACTTAGCTTTACAAATACTAATTCTTCTAATACCGTAAATACTCAGAATTTTATATCAGCAAATTATTCGGCATAAGTTACTATGTTTTTAATTCAAAGAGCTTTTCCTTTAAATGAACTAGCTATAAAATCTGTGACTTACTCATCAAATGGGTAAACAAAAGTGCTTACCATTCTTTAAATTAAAGATTCAAAGTATAAAATGTCAAACCACACCAAATAAAAAACGCCAGATCATATATTAGTCTTCAATGACTTCAGATTACAGGATATTTTTGTAAAACATGCAAAACCCCTCTGACAATAATTTAACAAATGTCCATTCAATTGCAGGCCGTAACTGCAGCGTTTAAATGACACATGTTGAAATCAATTGGCACTTTAATCAGCACCAGTTTCTTACTTTGCAACAGAGTCCTGATATTAAGTGTTATTTATCAACCAGACAGTAGATGCAAATACTTAATTTGAAGAATTTCAGATGGAAAAGCAGAGATTTTAAACCAAATTACTCTGAACACAATATCTTTGTGTCTTTAGCTATTAAGCAAGAATTAAATACTTCACATTGGGCTGCTCAAGGCATTTATAGAGTATCAAGTCTCCCCCAAATTAAGTAATTTCTACCTTCAAGGAGGTCATCTTCTTCTATTCCTTTGACAATTTTAGATTTGTAGTCTCGAAAAAACATGTATTTAAGTAGCCTTCTAAGTTTCTTCTAAGAGAAAAAAAGTTTATATTAATTAGTATTATTTTTTAATTTAAAATAACAAACATACAAATGTATAAGATGTTACTCCGTATATACAGTTTTCTGAATGTTCATAATTTCTGATTCTATAGAAAATCCATACATAGAAAGTACAACAAGGTCAGTAGCAATTGCACAGGAAATAGCATTTATTTAATCTCCATGGTACTTTGCTTGCTAATTGTGAGACAGAAGTGGGTTTGACTTTCAGAAAGTCAAACTTCGCTTAGTTCGGAAATTCAAGCCTACAAATGCATTTTTAAATTAAGTCTGACATCCATGTTGAACACTATTCGTAGTGTTCAACACTTAGGGATCATACCAGATAAAGAAACTGTAATTGTTTTTCACTAAAATGTGAGAAACAATTTTGAATTGTATTTTCTTAATTTTGATACAGTTTTGATCGTTAGATTTCACCTATCAAACAAGGAAAGAAAAAGAACGGGAAGAGAAAAGGGGGAGGGAACAGGGGGAACTAAGGCACAAACGAGATAAAGGAAAAATACATAATGTTCATTAAAATGGTTGATTTTTTTCCTATTCTTGAGATTTGAAAAAATAAAATTCCTTTCATTTTCATTGTGTTTCTGAAAATAAATTATTGACCCACTTTACTTACTACCCAAAGAAAGAAAGAACATCCCTAAATTTGAAGATTCTAGTGAGATAAATACAGGAAAGAATACTAGGAAAATAAAGGATTTACTGACAACCTAGAGAACAAAAATGTAAGAGTTGTGCTGTCAAATGTCTCATCTACACCCTGCATAACTAGGAGAAAATTAGAATGTTTTTTAATAGAAGGGTTATAAAGGATAAGGATTAACATTTATACCTTTATTAAGAAACTCTTTAGAGCTCTAAGGTAAAGTAGCCACCCTAAAGCTAGTGAAAAAGTGCATTCATAATTGAAATAACTGGGACAAACAAAAAAGAGTTAATTAAAATATTATGCAATTATTGTACTGTGCACAACAAAATACAACTGCAGAGCAGCTGTACTTCTATATAAAGCTATTTATGATGATCTACACCTTTCATATAGGTTAAGCAAACACTTAAAACACAATAAGCAGCTTACTATATAAAGTAAGAAAATTCTGTCTTACTACTGTACCTTATCTTTGCGCATTAGGAACAGGAGATCTTCAGCAGAGATGACTCGAGCTCCTCTCAGCTGAGAAACGTCAGCTGCTTGCTGCAACTAAAATAAATGAATAAATTAGGAAGGCTGTTTCTGTGTTAAAAAATTTATTCACTAGGGTTTGTTTTCAATACATTCAGATAATATTTTGCATGGTAGTGCATAGCAAAATACAAGCTACACACTAAAACACAAGCTGGGACTCTCAAAGGTGTCACTCACTTGATCCTTGTTAGCCAAGAAGTGAATAAAAATTTTACAAAAAGACTGAAAGACTTTTGACAAATCTCAAGCAAAAGCTTTTTTGTTTATATTTAAAATGATTGCTTTTAAAAAGCACTGTATCCTTTTTTTTTTTTTCCTTTCCTTGCACCGCGTTAGCCCAGAAAATGAACATATAATTCTCTCAGGCAATGTAAAAATGCCAGATTCTTGCCATAGCACTTTATCTGCAACAGTGGAAGGGTGGCTGATCCCTCTCACAATTTTTTAGAATAATAAATATTAATTTTAAACAGCTTACCTATGTATTTTTTGAAAGAAATTCTATCCCTACTTGACTTAGCATTAGTACAAACCAGACTCACATGAAGACTTTTTTAGGCATAGTCTTATTTTATTTGAAAGAAAGAGAATTAATTGATTGGAAACACTGACTCTATTAATAATGTAATTGGAAAAACCTTATTGAGCAGACCATTCAAATATGGAAGAAATACAGATAGGATTGAGCTATGAATTCCACAAAAGAAAAAAAAAGAAAAAACAAACAGAAAAAGGCAGCTAAAGGACCCTGAAGCAAAAACTGTCCTCATCTCCATCCTGGCAGCCCCCAAACTCCTCCAAGTGTGCTGAAAAAAGCAAAAATCTCTTTGTAAGGGACTAAGCCTGTCAGCCCTGGATTCACCTTCAGTTGGTGCAGGGAATTGGGCTATTTAATACACAAAGAGATCATATCAAAACCAGCACAAGATTAGAAAACAAACTTGTGCAAGCTGATACTTATCAAGCTTCTGGGCTAAGGAGGTCCAACCTAAATGTACAGAAGTCTACAGGATTATTTCTTTTCACCTTGCTGGCCTCTGGTTCTGGTGTAAGATGATGCTGTAGAGTACGTGGGAAGGTGGAACAGAAATGATGCTTCACAACATGGAATACACCCTATCCTCTGAACTCAAAAAATATTGTCCTAAAGGCAAGATTTAATCACAGTTTCTTTGCCTTATCCTCATTAACCATCTGACGTATGGACTGACAGTGAGCGTAGTACAAAAGTTACTGAAAAGAGAGACACCTTAAAAATTATTGATATTAAAACTCATACAAACCTACACACCTGTAACATGATCAATAAACAGAAATTGAATTTATTTTCAAATATCTCTATATTCTTCTTTCAGAAATGCATTAATGCACCTGAAAATAATTTAAAGAAATCCTATCCTTCATACTTACACTAGCAATGGTTTCACTCAGTATCACCGGCTGAATAAGTATATTATTAATCTGGGCTCCCATGCTGCTATGACTTGAAATAGGCCTATTCAGAAGTTAAAAAGATCAACAAAAACAGTAGCTGTTTCTAATATCCTAAGGAGGAGAGGGGGGAAAAAGATTTTCATTTTGGCAAGTGTTCAGTGGGCAAAAGATTCAGTCCATAAATCATAATACTGGACTGCATTAATTTTTTTCCACACTAATCACATGCATACAAAACGTCAACTGTATCTCGTATGCACAACACAAAACATACTGCGTGAAGAGTTTCAAATTTTCCCCTTGAAACCCTCTCATGGCCCTTGGAGTCACAGAGACCAGAGAGATTTCAGGAATTCCAAAGTCACAGTAATATAATCTTACTTGAAAAATGTAAGAATGTGAAAAACGATAGTTCTATTTTTTGGCATAAGCAAAACTCTTTCTTATTCTGATTAGTTTGAGGGTACACAAGCTACTTATATTTCTGACATAAAATATAAAGAGCTGCATAAAACTAAATTCATCAAGAATGAGCCAATACTCATCTCTGGTGTAAATCTATTGCAGTTAATGGATTTGCGCCAAGGCTAACTTTGGCCCCACTAAGCTTAAAAGTGTTACAAAACCTGCTGATAACACAACACAGCTTTTCAAAATATCATACAAAACAATGGCAAAAATATCCAACTTGAAAGTATGCACCAGTTCCCTAACACATGTAGGACCATAACTATAATTTTAAGGTCTCTTTCAATCCAAACCATTCTATGATTCTAAAAGACACTGATTTTCTTACCATAAAACTCAGGTATGTTAATTTCTGTGTGTAGCTGAAATATCTCATTTTTCCAAATGATAAACATCATTTAAAGTAAAGGTGGTGTCCAAGCTGCTTACAGAAACATCCCAATGAAGTGAGGGAGAGTAAGGAGAGGAGGCCAAAGTCACATCCCATTTGCATCTAAGTAAATCCTGAATAACATTGTTTACTTTAATGGAGTTATTCTGGGCTAAACACAAGATCAAATCTGGAATAATATTCTTGGTTTCTGCTGGAACAATGAAAACTTTATTCTCGTACTGCCTCGACTTTTGCATCTATTTTATTTTAAGGAATGAACACACAGTATTTAATTTCTTTGGCTTAAAGAAAGCAAAATACGAAAATAATTACTTCCTGTACAGTTCTAAAATATGGATTATTTATCCAAACAGACCATAATGAGTTCTGCATTGGTACACATATTTACCTGGGAAACCAGGATATGCTGAGGTAAATATGTATCCAAGCAATTAAAAAAAAAATTACGTACCACACAGCCGAGGTTGGGGGGAAGATGTATTTATAGTTTTAACACACACATAATTGACTCATTCAAACCACAACATGAGAGCTTTGCTATAATTAGCATTATAACAAACTGTCCTATTTGACTGTCCCAGAGTTGCCATTAATATGCAATAAGCCCCGATTCCTTAGTTTCCGGAGCTAAAGGCCTTGTTGAGTCATTACCGTGGCTGCGTTACATGATGAAGGGAGATTTCAGGAAGCTATACCAAAGAAATGATCCATCTCTGAGCACCCAAGCATTTATCATTCTAGAAAAGCAATTTTCAGCTCTGCAGCCTTTAAGTCAGGAGGTCTGTCACCTTTTCCTGCAGTGGAAGTACTGCGGGTTTTTACTTTGCGAGCAGCGGGTCTAATGCCCTTGACTCCAGAAGATAGGTGTGATATAAATCCTGTAATACCTTTTCAAATATGAGGTTGCTATATAACAACAGTGGAGATCTGGCAGGAATTTCCCACCATCTCCCTTCTCCAAGTCTCAGCTAACTCAGCGTCAGTCACAGAATTTGAGGCAGCAGCAGTTCCTACATATTCACTGTCTTTTCCTGATTTTTTTTGATGATGAAAATTATTCAGACCACATTACAAAGTATTTCAGCTTGGATTGTCCAGAAGAACAGCAAACAACCCAAATTACTTAGCTTCTTAAAGAAAAACAGGCTGAATTTTCTAATGTCAGCAAACAATATTTGAGACCTCAGAATCTGAATATATTTTTTATTACAGCCAAATTATGAACCCCTAAAAGTGAAGTTTAAATAACGGAAGTGTTGAAATGATTTTAACTACAGGAGCGCAAATAGCTCTGTTAATAATTAGGAGTTTATGAAAAATAAGTGTATTTTACAATTTTTCACATTACAAAGAAGGCAGTATATACAGTGACCATATTTTAAAGTCTAAGAAGAAATGGCTGGGGAATAATATTTTAAAATGTAATCACTGGTTTAATGACTTTATGAAGTTAACTTTCTTGGCAGGATGAACTGAAGTATGTTAACAGTCACCTTACGGCTATTTTCTTTTTGCAACTTCTGCAAATTACAGATTTGCTGAAAGGAGTATTCATTCTCCTATGACAGAAGCACAGTTACTTCAATAGCACTGTCTGCTTTTTTTTTTTTTTATAATTATTTTTTCTTCCACTACCTCCAAAGTCAACATCACTGATATTTCGACAAAAATGCCTTGACAGACAAACAGACAAAGAGCTGGAAAACAAATGTACTATGTTGTGACATAATCCCTCGAGTTAAACTGTAGGATGGAGTAAAAATGGTAGTGTCTTGAAACTGCTGGGAGCCAAGAATAATGCTTCAGGAGCTATGATTTTGTTTTCATTATAGAGGAAAATTAGATCATAGTTCACCTGGCTGATTTTTTTTTTTTTTTTTCCCTGAGGCAGGAAGGTTTTTGTTATTAAATATGTATTAAAATGTCCTATTTTTCATCTTTTTCTAGATCAAAAGTATGCAAGTATAAAGGTAGCAAAGAATATTCTTTAGATATAGTGCCATGGATGTATTCTAACCAGAGCATCCCAATACTTTTTGAAAGAAATTAAACTTTGGGTTTCACTTCAGTCTTTTCACACAGTATCTCACATACTACCAATGCCGGCAGCTGAGCCTCTAATCCTAACATACATGGAAAGCATCAAGAATTTGTTTCCACAAGTCAGCATAGGGATGGGCTTCACACATCCTGGGAGGATAAATACATTACGGAGTCCATTAGAGCCCCCTAACAGGTAATGATCTAGGGTCACCACACCAGAGTTGAACAGCATGACTATACTGTCCCAAGCTGTCTACAATGTAAAACTTTCATCTGCAGACTAAAAGACAATCCTTTTTTTTTCTTATTAGGTAGGTATTTGTTTTCAAATCTAACTAATTTTTACTGAAGACCAGCAGGTGAGCATGCGTGACCTTGAAAAGATAAAGTTCTGCACCACATTCTGAGGCTTTAGAGAATCATAGAATTGTTTCAGATGGAAAAGACCTTTAAGATCATCAAGTCCAACAATTAACTCAGAACTGCCAAGGCCACCACTAAACCATGGCCCTAAGCAGTACATCTAAACATCTTTCCAATCCTTCCAGGGGTGGTGACTGCCCTGGGCAGCCTGTTCCAGTGCCTGACAATCCTTTCAGTGAAGAAATTGTTCCTAATATCCAATCTAAACCTCCCATGGGACAACTTGAGGCCATTTCCTCTTGTCCAATAGCTT